TTTGAATGCTAACGTTCCAAATTTGAACTCTGAAACACTTTAGAAAACGTTGTTTTATAGGGAACACATTTATACATTTTAATTGTCCTTTTTCAGAAGATTAGCATTTCTACATTGACTTCTGTGGTTTAATGTTTACTTTGACTACATATCCTTTATTTCTTCCCATAGCAATGCCATTTGACTTAGAAAATTTTAAAATCTCTTTAACTTGCTTTATACAGAAGCTCTTATAAATAACTAATAAATGCTTTTAATGGGTGACAATAAAAATTGAGATCTGCAATTAATTCTGTAGGGGAAGCAACATAATGTCTTGGCACAGTCCCCCAAAATAAGAAGGAATTGGGATCTCCTGCTCAACCTATCATGACTGAGGTGTGGTTGCTCCCTTGTGCCCAAGTCCCACCAGATTCCATTGCCATGGAATGAGCCGAGGCAAAGGGCGTATGGGAGAGTAGGCTGAGGGTGAAGTATGTGCTAAAGAGCATGGACTCCGGAGTCCTGTAGGCACGGCTTCAACTTATCAGCCTGTGACCTTCAAGATAAAAATAACTTTTAAAAAAGGAAACAAGAGGGTTTTTTGACCTTGGAAGTTTTGAGTTCTCTAAGTCATTGTTTTCTAAGGTCCATAGGATTTTATAACACTTTCATCATTTATAAAATAAAAAGAATAGTAGTACCTAACTAGAAGAGTTGTTATAAGGATTGAATGAGCATTTGTCAAATGTGAGCATTCTGCTTGAATATATATATATATCATGGGATTTCTTCAATCATGATAGCAAATCATTGGCCTAACAAATTCTGTCAATATCTACTCCTACTAGAATTTCACTTAAGATTGATACTTAAAACAAGATATATCAAACTTATTTTTTATTTTATCAATTAGGACAAACTTGTATATATATATACAAACTTAGTAAAAAGTTTGTTATTATATATCAGAGTCACACTTAATGCTTTTATGCATACATTTATTTTAGTTGCTAACAATCTAATGACTCACATATCAAGTCATTCTATGGACTTTGTTTAGAATCAGTTTCTAAACAGTTGGTTTCCTTAACAATAATAAGTTTATAGTATTTTATACATTTCATAGACAATTTATTTCAATGACATGAGAACAGTGATTTTGATAGAAAGGCTATGTATTTTCCTGATTCCTTTGTAATTATGTTTTTTCTGAAAGGCTAACAATGGTAGCTAGTAAGGCTGAAAAGGAGTTCCATGAAAAGAAGGCCATAAGAATTACAGTGGATACTAAAAGTGGGATTGTTTTTACAAAGTAAAAATACTAAATTAACCTTTGCTAGATATATAATATAGTGATCATTATAAATGTTTTGCTATGGGAAGATCTCCAAAGTATATTGTTTAGTGAAAACAGCAGAGTGCAAGAGAATGTGTAAAATATGTCCTAATACATGTTTGAAAAAAGAATATGGACAGAAAATTATATATATATATATTAGTATAGGCATAAAAAATTTCAGGAAGGATTTATAAGAAACTCTCAGTAATGATTCACCTGAAGAGAATAACTAAAGAGTTACATTAGATAACAGATAGCTCATTAAATATACTTAGTACTTGTTAAATATTGGATCGATGTATATTTACTTTTTAAATAAAAATTTTAAATTAGCTAGTAGCTAGTATAAAAATTACCATAATCGTTATCAACATTTTTGAGTTTCTATCCATTGGAGGCAATATGCTAGACTTTATATGCATATACACATTAGTATTCACAAGCATCTTGCAAGATCAGCTGAAGCTATGTAGCTTGTATAATACTGTAGAGCAAGTAAGGGATACACTACTCTTTTTTCTGCTTTTAATTAGAGTTTTCATAAATCCTTAATTCATAATCACCAGTATAGGCATTTAACTCTTTACTATACAGAAAATAAAAAGGATTTCTTCAATCATGATAGCAAATCATTGGCCTAACAAATTCTGTCAATATCTACTCCTACTAGAATTTCACTTAAGATTGATAGTTAAAACAAGATATTTCAAACTTATTTTTTATTTTATCAATTAGGACAAACTTGTATTTTTTCTTTCTAACTTGGGAATTATAACCACAACTAGCACAAAATCCAATTGGTTTCTGATTAGATATGTTTTGCCATTTAGTATAAATGTAATTATTAAAAAAGGCTTTTTAAAGCAATATAATAATGGATGCAAAAAGATCACCAAACAAGCAATATGTCAATTTTGTGGGTTCGACTTTTTTTAAAATATATTTTATTGATTTTTTACAGAGAAGAAGGGAGAGAGATAGAGAGCTAGAAACATCGAATGAGAGATATCGATCAGCTGCCTCCTGCACACGCCCCCACAGGGGATGTACCTGCAACCAAGGTACATGCCCTTGACCGGAATCGAACCTGGGACCCTTGAGTCCGCAGGTCGATGCTCTATCCGCTGAACCAAACCGGTTCGGCTACTTTCCACTTTTAAATTAAGTAAACACTATCATTTACCATTTTTTTGCATACAAAAAATCTGTGACATATCTGAGTATTAAGATACAATGTGTACTTTAGTTGTGATTTGAGAAACTACCATAAAAAATGTCAAGGACCACAAGGAGGTGGCAGTAGAGTTACATTACATTACATTGCAGGGGTTCATCTTCCATTTGGGGGTGTGGGGCAGAGGAAAACTGGGGAAATGAAATAGTAGCAAATTCACTGGGAAGGAGAGAGGTGAATTGAAGAAGGCGCTGCAATCAAAGGATATCACAGGGTAGAACACATGGGGAGGCAGACTTATCCCTACAACTTTAGTGACACTACAGGAATGTGCCCACTGTGGTTGCTGTGGTTGTATCTGCATTCTGCTCCCAATTTGGCCCTGTGGATACTTGTGTATGATTTAATCAAAATGAAGTACCCTAGATTAGTAAGGGTCAAGTTCATACAAAGAGTAACTTATTGCTGTACTCATTCAGAATGATTAGTCAGGGCGTGGGACCTAAACCTAACTTTTAATTTATTTACTTTGCCATTCCTTTGTAGGTGAGAAAAAAAAAATGCTTTGAGTCAAAGTTAAGTCCTCAGTCTCATTTTATCTTTCCAAAAAAAAAAAAAATATGATAACCCAGCTATCACATCTGTCAAATGCAGCTATTCCATTTCTACTGAATCAGATGGTGTGTTTTTTTTAACAACATCGTTCCCTCTGAGTTAGTCTTCCTGTGTATAAAGATTTATATGTTACAGCTTTAGAAATTGTAAATAAGCTACTCTTCTCTCTCCAGAATTTCAGTCCTAAGAACAATGTGAGTTTACTCCATTTCCTTTTTAATAGAGTTAAAATTTATTTTCTTTTATTGTTAAGCTGGGGAAAGGGGTGAATGAGAATATTCAAATTTTGATCACAATTTTACGAAGGAGCAGCTTTTAAAAATATGTTGAAGTATGGTGGAATGGAATTTTAGGTCTTTTAAAGAGGACTTTGGCTCATTTTACTACTTCAAAGTAAATTGAAATTTCTTTATAGTGCCCTAAATTTCTCTTTCTACCCCTCCCACATCTTGGAAACCCCTTGTACACTCTTTTCTCAGCCTTCTTTTCCCTCTTTCCTCTCCCTTTTTTTCTCTTCTTCTCCCCTCTTCCCTCAAATAGAAAAGGGAAGAGACACCTCGGTCTGATTTCAAATTGCCCTCTTCTCAAAAATCTTCTGGGGGGTTGTCACTTTGTATGACATTGCCACATTGCTAACTCCTCTTGACTACAGCATTAATATCTCAGAGAGTCTAAAGCATATTCCTATAAAGAAAACAGCCATGTAACAAAGTGTTGCAGATATAGTACACGGAACAAGTCAGGTTTGGTGGGGAGAGGAGATACGTACAAAGACAAAGTTCAGAGCATGGGCCCCTTTCTGCAAATCACTCAGTCTCTGGTGTAGAACCCGGAGTCAGGGACCTTATACAATCACGGGGAACAAGTTTTGGAGATGGGTTTCCTTGGGAAAAGAAGGATGAGCAGAAACTAAAAGGAGCTTTTCACCTTTATTATCATCTTTCATGAGATTGGTATTCCTAGAATCCCCAGAATAGGTGATCATTTAATTTAAAAAAATGGTTGAACAAATGAATGAATATGAAAGAAATTGTTCCAACCATTTTTTTCCCTCATCTCAACACTTGGGCAAGAAAAAACTATATTGGCTATGTGACAGCTAATTATTCTTCTTAGCAAGTGATTATACCAACAAAGAATGATATTCATTTCCAAATGTGTCCCTGAAGACCAGGAAGATAAAGTGCATCAACATATTTTAGAGCAGGTATGGAAGAAGAAACGGACGAAGCTTACACATGATTTGCTACCAGATTAGAAAAAGTGCAGCCTTATGTTTCTGGCAGATTTGGGAACTGTGGCTATATTCCTTAAATAATAAAAAGTTTAGCCACATCTGCTGCTTCTGTAGTTAAATTTAATTTAGTTACTTTTCTATGTTTTAAGTGCACTCGGGAGCCTCAGGCGAAGCTTTGAAGAGGAAGGGAGAACATGCTGAATCTGATAAATCTCTGCTGTCTCTTTAAAGAACGTGGAAAATACCCATGTGCACTAAAGGCTGGTACCACAGAATTAACCACAGCAAGCACCAGCGATTTTTTTTCCCCCAACTGTTGTGGAAGCATTCATCCTAAGGTGAAATCAGCTTAGTATTCAGTTTGACATGTTTAACCAAGTGTGAATCGAGTAGACTACAATTGTAAACAACCAAGGACATATTGCCTAACTTTCAGAGTCAATCCTCTAGTTTTCTTTCCTCAGTCAGTAAGCACCTGTGAGACGCTTTTGTGTATTTTCTGCTTATTGGGAACGAGGGACAGTCGTGTAAGTAAGATGGACAGTTTGGAACAGACCTCGTCATTGGACGTTTCTACATTCCTAGTGCTACGAAAGAACAGGAAATCGCCTGAAGGAGGAAGGGAGGACACCTGCTTGTTCTCTTAAGCTTACCTTTGCAAGTTGCTCGTGAATTTCAAGTATGCTGGGTCGATTGGCCTTGGGCCCGCTGAGGCTGCCAGTGTTGCGATAGTACTCGATCTTGGGGACAGCATCCATGGTGTTGTGGCCAAAGGTTTGTAGGTAGTATGTGTTTGTGTGAGAATCATAAACATGAAAACTAGCATCTGTCTTAGTAGTTTCTCCGTTTTGGAGGAAATTGTCATAGCACTCCTGTTTCCCAGGCCTAAAGCTGATTCTGAATCTGGTCTGGGCTTCATCCCCAAAAGAGGTTTCCTCATAATGGGGAGGGTCGCTGTTCTCCGCTGCAGCACTGCTCTCATGGCCCTCATTTATGACATTAACTTGAAAGCGATTGGTATTACTGGGCGCTGAGTCCAGAAATACGTTGGAAGAATTGTTCAGTGACATCTTCCAACTAAATTTTTTTTTGGGGGGGTGTGGGGCTCAGCTATTTACTTTATTATTGCTTTTTTTAAAAATTTATATATTTCCTCCTCCAAATAAACACTAATGTGTTTACATTAGGGAGCTCCTGGCTTTTGTTAGAAGAGCTCAATAAGTAGATTCTTGATGTATTTCCTATTCAGTCCACATTGTTCTTCAAAGCTGTCATTGAAAAAGAAAATTAAACGTGGTCCAAGTAATAGAAATATATTTAAGTAGGAATGGGGGTGTGAGGGAACAGTGTTCTTTCAAAGGACATATATTTTTTAGTTAATTTCATTAAAAAGTACCTGTCCAGGAACCTTAATCACCTGAGTAATTAAATCCCAGGATAAATAACCAGGGAGTTAGCAAACCGAATTTCCAATAGAGTCATTAAACTGTTACCTGTGTTTGTAGTATTTGCTTAGACTCTGTGCAGTTGGATTCAATAAGACTTCAGAAAAGATATAACTACTGATTTAGTACAGTAAGAGCTGATGAGAACATTCTTAGCCTGAAACACAGTTCATCGACAGTACTAAATGTTGAAACTGCAAGGTATTTTTTGATTGACATCTATATAATTACATAAGTAAAATTTAAAAATATTTAATCTTCTAAAAGTATATTCTTGGTAGACTTTAAAAACATGTACTGTCAAGACGATGTCCCTCTAAATGATCAGCTTTCTTACATGCCTTCAAAATATTTGATTTGCTCAAAAATTTGTCTGTTTTACAAATGCCATTATAAAGTCTTTAAAATAACATATGACTAACCAGGGTAAGGACATAAATCACAGTCCTCAGTAAAGTCGTATTCGGTATTTAGGTTAAATAACCATGCTTCTCTGATTCCCCTTAATTAAATATTCTGAATCTTCACTGAGAAGTTTATATGTGACTTTTAGATAAGCAGAGTATTGAATCATTTTCAAAATCCATGGCATAACCCCATCTTAGCATATTCTTTCTTTAGAATAATACCCTTTTATTTATACCTTAAAATTTGTCTTTTCCAAGAAAGTTTTAGAAAGATAAATACAAAAACTTGCCTGTCTCCTGAAATTAACAAAACTATTTATTTGAATTTTAAAAATTTCAACTTCAACTCTCAAGTAACCTGTCCCGGGGAAATCCTAAGTGACTCTGTTGTCTCTTCAGTTTTTATGGAATATCCCACTAATATCGTCCTTGATATCCTCGCCCTTACTCCACTCCTCAGAATCTACTTTATGCATAATATTAAGCGGCATTTTACTCTGCCCAGAAATATTTAACTCACCACCGGAGCCTTTTCTCTGGAAGCGTAAGCTGCTTCAGTATCACCCAGGCATATATGGGGCACTTAGCTTTCAGCTCAGAATCTTAGGCTTCTTCTTATTGGTTAGAATTTTCCTGGAAAGAGATGACTGAGCAATGATTGGCCTGGAATAACACAGTAGGTCCCGCCCAGTCATTAGCCCTGAGGAGCCTTAAGTACTACATCAAATAGTAACTAGTAGTAAACCATTAATCTTTTAGACAGAAAGTAAAATAAAGTTTCTTTAATTCTTAAGGGGAGTTGTGTTACTCAACAGCAATTATCCAACAAAATACGAGCAGTGCGTTAGTTGTTTGGAACTAAATAGATTCAATCCCATCTTCTTATTTCACATGATTCTTCGTGACCTCCTATTGTTTGGCATGTGCAGAAAATGTAGTCCTCCAGAGATAATTTCTATACATTGTAACTAGAAATGCTATTTGAGATTATTTTATCTTGCTTATCATACATATTACTTTGACTCTTCTCTGCATGGGATTGAGAGTACAGTCAATGATTTATTGGGAATATTC